GTACAGGCGCAGGTTCCAGGTGGTTCCCAGGACGCAGAGCTGGGCGATGGCCGTGATGGGGAGCACACTGAGGGGGAGGGGGAACCAGTCACAAGGCCCCACCCCTCAGCCACAGCCCACCTCCCCTTGGGGCCCCGCCCCTCAGCCTCAGCTCCTGTCTCCCTGGGGTCCCACCCCTCAGTCACAGCCCAACTCCCCGCCCTCCTCAGGGCCCCGCCCCTTGAGGGCTTGCCCCACCTCCCCATCTCTCCTAGGGCCCCGCCCCTTGAGTCAGAACCGCCCCTCCCCCCGCATGTGACTGACATCTCCTGCACACAGCCCCACCTCCCCAGACTCTGCCCCCCAGCCAGTAGTGGGTGCGGGAAAATGTCACTCATATGTGGGCCCCTCTCCCCGGTCGCCCCCTTCCCCCACACATGGGGGGATGACATCACGTTATCATATGCCCCCCCCCCGCTCCCCCTCCCCCGACGGGGGGCAGCAGGGCAGTGCCAGGGTCTCTGCTGCCCCGGGGGCCGCGCCCGCTACCTGAGCTTCTTCAGCTGGCTCATGTTAGGGTTGATGTCAGCGAATTTCAGCGACAGCTTCCAGACGGTGACCACGAAGATCACGGCGTTGACCTGCCGGGGGCAGGGGAGAGGCGGGTTGGGAGGGGGGCAACTGTGTCCCAGGGGTGGGGGCTATGGGATCTGCCAGCTGTGCAGCCCATGGGGCAGCCCCTTGCCTGGGCCAGGTGCGCCCCACTCCCCATAGTGACCCAGCTCGGCCCCTGGAGGCTGGAGACTTGGTGGGGGGGACGACCAGCGAGGGGCCCAGCTGCCCTGGCGCTGGGGGTGGGTGGCAGGGGAAAGAAGCGAGGGCAGCCGACAGCCAGGCCCTCAGGGGCCGGCCAGGGGGCCAGGCGCTGGCATGGGGCTGGGCTGGGGGAGGGGATTTACTGCGATGATGCTGCAGACGGGCGCCAGGAAGCTCCAGATGAATTTCTTCTCCAGCGAGAGCCAGCAGCTGTGGGGGAGGGACAGACACGGGTCAGTCACTCACCTGCCAGCAGGGGGCACTACAGGGTGGGGTCTCCCCCCCCCCCACTGGCAGAGTGGGGGATGGAGACTAGACAGCCCCCCCCCTTGGTGCCCGGAAGCGTCCTTGTGTTGTACAAGTGTCCCAGGCTGGGGCCCTGAGCACAAGCTGCCCCTTGCCCAAACGGCAGGAGGGTGCCCCCCTCCCTCACGCTGGCCTCACCCACCCAATGGGGGGCCACCCCTCCCCTCCCCTGGTGGGCCCGGATGGCAGCGGCACTCCCGGCTGAGCCGCTCCTGTCCCCGTGTGCTGCCTGGGCATGGTGCCATGTTCCCCACGAGCCCCTGGCCGAGAGCACTGGGCCTGGCCCCCCCACCCCGGGCCGGTGACTCACTGGCGCGCCGTGCCGTATCCCTCCCTGTAGGTGGCGGCCGAGACGCCCACGATGAGGGCCGGCACGCCGTAGCCCAGCAGGATCATGTAGGGGCGTCTGAGGCCGTGGGGGGTGAAGACCTGAACCACCAGCAGGTAGAGCTCGGCGCCCTCCAGGCACATCCAGCAGAAGGCGGCCAGGAAGAAATAGTGCAGGAGCCCGGCCACCACGCCGCACACCACCTGCAGCCAACGGGACGTGGGACGTCAGGGCCGGGCTCCCGGCTCCTCCAGCCCCAGCCCCTGGCAGCAGGGGGCGCAGTGGGGAGCGGGGCAGGAGCACTGGCTGTGGGGGGAGCTCCCGGCTACTTCAGGCCCAGACACTGGGAGCACTGTAGGGAGCAAATCAGGACTGCTGGCTGTGGGGTGGCTCCTGGCTTTTCCCACCCCAGCCTGTGCCAGCAGGGGGCACTGTGGGGAACGGGGCCTGAGGCTGGCTGGGGGGGAGGTGGGGAGCTCCCAGTAGGGGGCATTGCAGGGAGCTGGGCCCGAGGCTGGCTCGGGGGGTGCTGTGGGGAGCGGGGCCTGAGGCTGGCTGGGGGGGAGTTGCCAGCGGGGGTCTCTGCAGGGAGCGGGGCCCGAGGCTGGCTGGGGGAGCTGCCAGTGGGGGTCGCTGTGGGGAGCGGGGACCGAGGCTGGGGGGGGGCCAGGTACCTTGTTGCCGGTGCTGGAGGTGCCGGTGAGGAAGACGGTGTAGGCGATGAAGAGCGCCAGGCAGAGGTGCAGGTGGATGGTGGTGCGGGGGCCCTTGAGGGCGCGGCAGAAGAGGAAGGTGACGATGGACAGCAGCAGGCACAGCAGCGAGATCACCAGCCCCACCTTGGTGATGACATCCAGGGTCCAGTCCTGTGCCGGGGGTGGGGTGGGGTGAGGGGGTTAGTCAGGGTCCCGTCCCCCCCCCACAAGGCAGCAGCCAGGCCGGGCTTTAGGGTACAGCCGGACTAGCCTGTCGGCCTCGCTCTGCGCCAGGGCTGGGAGAGCCCCCTAGTGGCGACACCGGGCAGCCTGCGGGAACCAGTGACTGGCTGGGTCCAGCCGCCCAGATGATTCGATGCTGCCCAGCCTGCCCCCATCCCTCCCGAGGGGCTGACCCACAGCCCCAGGGCCATGGGAAGCCGAGGGGGCTCTAGGGTCACCACCACCCAAGGGGGAATCCCTGGCACCGATCCCTGCAGGACGGGGGCGCCAGAAAGTGCGAGGGGCCGGGGCTGTTCTCCGGAGCAGAGAGCAGAGCGCCCCCGCCTGGCGGGAGGAAGCCCCTGCCCAGGAGGGAGCTGCTTTTTGACCAGACGGACGCGCTTGTGGCTAAGGTGCTGCAGCTCAGGACTCCTGGGTTCTACCAGCTCTGGGAGGGGAGCAGGGTCTAGGGGTCAGAGCAGGGGGCTGGGGGTCAGGACTCCTGGGTTAAATTCCCAGCTCTGATGTCAACCTCCCCGTATCTCCTTGAGTGAGGCATTTAACCCCTCTCTGGCTCTGTGTGAAGGGGATGGGGACACTCCCTGCCCTGCAATGCAATGGGGTGAGCCCCCTGCCCCTGCTGCCCCCCAGCTTCCCGGCCAGGCATGCAGGCACGTCGGTCGCTGCTATGTGGGGAGTCTCCCTGTGCCCTTGGGGATGCGGGGGCTGCTTGTGCCCCTGATCAGATCCAGAGCCCCGCATGCCGGTGGGGAATGGGTTTACTCCGGGAGGAATCTGGAGTGACTCCTGCTCCGCTGGGGACGATTGAGGGGAAGAGCAGAACCAGACCAGCCCCAGGCCCCAGCGAGGGCCGCGCCTACCTCCAGCTCATAGAAGGCCATGAGCACGGCGAAGCTGGTCAGGTGGTTGCACTGGCAGCGGGTGATGGTGGTGGTCAACTTCTGCAGGGTGCAGCCGTCGGTGGCCCAGCGCCTGCTGTCAGGCTTCCAGTAGGCGCAGAGGAGGCGCAGGTCAGTCTTGTTCTCCTGGGGACAGAGAGACGCTTGGGGAATGGGGGGGGCAGGGAACGGGGGGGGGGGCTGGCTGGGGCCGCACAGGGGGCAGGACTCCCCAGGCCCCGAGAGTGCAGGTTGGGGGGGTACGAGCGGCTGGGCTGAGGGCACAGAACATCAGTTTGTCCCTGGGTGGGAGGCGGATTCACCTGCTGCCCAGGGTGGGGGGTGTTACTAGAGATGGGCCCAGCTCTGCCCTCCAGCGCCCCAGGCTCTCCTCCCCCCATGCCCAGCCCAGGGGCTCACCGGCACCGGGTGGCTGAAGCGGATGCTGACGGAGAGGCCGAGTGCCTGGGGGTTCGGGTCACTGATGAAGGCCGACACCACTGGAGACAGCACACGGTAGCTGGGCCGCCCGGGCTCCTGCGCCCGCTTCCCCGTCTGGCCGATCTTGTCCCACTTGGGCATCTCCACCCGCACAGCACCGTCCAGGATGGGGCTCATCCCCTGGTATGTCAGCAACCCGGCCAGCAAGAAGCCTGCGAGAGACAGAGGAGACGGATGAAATGGGGGGCAGGAGGGGCCCTGGGGCAGACTGGTGCCAGGGGTGCTGTGCTGCTGGGGGTGCTGCCCCCAATGCCCTGGCCATGCCCCGTCCCCCTACACACCCCAGTCTGGCGCTAGGGAGTGCTGTGCTGCTGCTCCCAATGCCCTGCCCATGCTCATCGCTATACCCACCCCAGCACAGGGGATGATCACATACCTTTTTTCTGTCCTGGGTCTCCGGCCCACTTTAATTCCATCTGCGTCTTGCTCTGCTGCAGCGTCACGGTCTCCTGGCTCTGGCTCCCAGCCTTCCTGACCACCAGCCCCAGCTCTGCAACCACAATGCCAGCCAGGGCTCACAACAGAGAACATGGAGAGGAAGCCTGTAGGTAGGCAAGGTGCTTTCCTGGCTGTGGGGGGAGCTCCCAGCTACTCCAGTCCCGGCCTCTCCCAGCAGGGGGCGCTATGGGGAGCCGGGTGAGAGCACTGGCTGTGGGGGGTGTCACAGAGTCCCCGGGCAATGCTCTGGAACTGCTCCCCACAAAGCCAGTCAGGACCTCGGGGAGCCTCCTCTCCCTCGGAGCAGACTGTCTTCAGGGCAAGAAGCTCACACGGCTTCACCTCCTGGGTCTGCCCTTGGAGCATTCAGCATATGCCCCTTCGTGCGCTTCCCACAGCGAGTCTGCCCAGGCGGGGTCCTGGGGAAGCCAGAAGTCCTGTACGCACCACCACCTCGCAGTCAGACGTGACTCTCAGCAGCCAGTAAAACAGAGGTTTATTAGATGATAGGAACACGGGCTAAAACAGAGCTTGTAGGTCCAGAGAACCGGATCCCTCAGCCGGGTCCATTCTGGGGTCCCGCGAGCCAGACACCGACATCTGCCCTCACTCCCCATCCCCAGCCAGCTCCCAACTGAAACCCCCTCCAGCCCCTCCTCCTCTGCTTTGTTCCTTTCCCGGGCCAGGAGGTCACCTGACCTCTTTGTTCTCCCACACCTTTAGCATCCCCTTGCAGGGGGGAAGGGCCTGACTATTAGTTGCAAGGCGACAGAGGGTCAGTCAGAAACTGAGGCACCCACACAGTATTCAGAGGAAACATTAAGAACATTCCCACTTAGTCACAGGGGGGAGCTCCCGTCTCCCAGCAGGGGGCTCTGTGGGGAGTGGGGCGGGAGCACTGGCTGTGGGGGGGAGCTCCCGTCTCCCAGCAGGGGGCACTGTGGGGAGTGGGGCGGGAGCGTAGGCTGCGGGTGATGAAAGCCCAACTGGGGCCAGGTGCTGACCTGTGCCGTTGGGGGATGCGATGCTGATCGTGCTGTCAGGCAGCATCAGGGCCAGTGTCCTCAGCAGCTTCTCCACTATGGCCATCAGCTCCGTCGCGATCTGGTGTCTCCACTCCACGCTCTCGTTCTGCTGCCTGACCAGATTTATCTGCTTCTCCAGAATGTCCAAGAAGCCCTGGCCAAGCAAACGTGGGGGGTGTTGGTGTCACAGTGCCTGAGCCCCAGCCGTGCCCCCCACTCCCAGATTGCTAGTCCTCCACTGCCTTCCCACAATCCCCCTGAAAGGAAAGACAAGTTCTCCTGCAATTCACATTGCTGCTTGGGAGGTCAGACTAGATGATCACAATGGTCCCGTCTAGCCTAGGAACCTAGGAGAGCAGCTTCTTGGGCACAGAGCCCCCTGGAGAGGCAGGCATGGGAATTTTTGGGCAGTGCTGCTGTTTATTTATCTCCTGTTCCAGGCGCTGCATCCCTATGGATCGCCCTGAGACTAGATCCGAGTAGGAGCAGCGATTCCTCCCCCTAACGGGAACAAACCCAGCAAGGCCCCGAATTTTGGCTTGGCACCTGCAGCTGCCCCTTCACAGACTCAGCGCTTTGAGCCTCCATCTGCTTCAGCTCCTCCAGCGCCGCCTTGCAGAGACGTCCCACCTGTGCCTGGAAGCTGCCGTGGAGGTTCTGCAAAACAAGCCCCAGGCCTGTCTCAGAAAAATAGATCACAGAATCGCAGCCCACCTCCCCCCGTCCCGAGAGGCTCCCTCGGCTCAGAAGCCAAGCGCCAGAGGGAGCGCGGGCAATGCCCCGTCTGGCCCCTAGGGGGTGCAGGGCGTTTGCAAGGGAGGGTGGGGGACGGCGGTTGCAAGCTGAAGCGAGTTGCAGCAGCCTGATGCTGCCGATCCTGGAGGGTGAGAATCACCCCGGGGCAAAGGCCTAGGCCGAGGCTGGACTGCAGGGGCTCCAGGGACTGGCCACTGGCTCTTTGCCCAGGGGCGAGTTTGGCCCCAGAATCCTCATGGGGCGAGATCAGTGAAAAGCAACGTGGCACGAAAGGGGAATCGGGGTCTATCCCCCCCCCCCCCGGGGTCTGTGCCCCACTCACCTTGGCTTCGGCAGAGTTGTCATCATCCAGCAGCCGGGGGCAGGTGAGCTCTGGGGATGGAAAGGGAGGAGGAGTGAGAGATGGGTGGGGGAAATGTGGGGTCTGGCTGGGTAGGTGCATGCACCAGAGCCAGACACAGAGAGCAGGACTCATTCCCTCATAGACTCATAGACTCTAAGGTCAGAAGGGACCATTATTATCATCTAGTCTGACCTCCCGCATGATGCGGGCCACAAAAGCCGACCCACCCACTCCTAGAAGAATTCTCTCCCTTGACTCATCTGTTGAAGTCCCCAAATCATGATTTAAAGACTTCAAATCGCTGAGAATCCTCCAGCAAGTGACCCCTGCCCCATGCTGCTGAGGAAGGCGAAAAACCTCCAGGGCCTCTGCCAATCTACCCTGGAGGAAAATTCCTTCCCGATCCCAAATATGGCGATCAGCTGAACCCCGAGCATGCAGGCAAGATTCTCTAGCCAGACCCTCTGGAAAAAGTTCTCTGTAGTAACTTTTAATATCCCATCATTGACCATTGTTACTAATTACCAGCGATGGTACGTTATTGACCTATTGACTAAAATGACTTTATCCCATCAAACCATCCCCTCCATAAACTTATCAAGCTTAATCTTAAAGCCAGAGAGGTCTTTTGCCCCCGCTGTTTCCCTCGGAAGGCTGTTCCAAAACTTCATCCCTCTGATTGTTAGAAACCTTCATCTAATTTCAAGCCTAAACTTCCCGACGGCCAGTTTATATCCATTTGTTCTCATGTCCACATTAGTACGAGATTGCACTTCAGTACCCTCCAGCAGGGGGCGGCAGCAGCCTCCCCTCACTCCCCCCAGCAGGGACACACCCAGCCCATGTCAGTGATATGGGTGTAATTGATCCTCTCCCAGCAGGGGGAGCAGTGACCTCCCCAGCCCCACACATGTGCCCAGCCCCTTCTCCCCATCCTCTGCTCACAAGCTGGTCTCTGTGAAAGGATCCCTCCCCCCTCCCCGTCCTAGGGGGACTGAGCCGCAGTGGGGTGGGGCGGGGGCTGTGGAATCATCCCAGCCGTATCTCCCCTCAACCCTCTCCCCCCAGCTGTGCGTGGTTCTGGTGTGTGTTTGGGGAGCAGGGAGGGTGAGAGAATCCATCCCTAGGCTGGCCCCCCAGTCGCCTCGAGTGACAACTAGGCACAGACTGCGCCCCCTGCTGCCATCTTCCCAGGGCAGAGAATCCAGCCCCGTGCAGCAGGAATACAGGCACTGCTGGGGAGAGAGATGCCCGGTCCCTGGCAGCCCTGCTCATCCCTCCCCAGCCTGGCCCTGCTCCACTCCCAGAGCCAGACCTGGGCACGCTGGTGGCTGTGGCTCTGACGCAACCAGAAACACCGCAGTAGATGGACAGGCTGGGCTGGGGAAGGTGGGATCCTGGAGGCTGAGCTCCCCCGAGCCAGGGCTGAGACCCAAAGGGCTGATGCATCGTCCCAGACCAGTTCCCAGCTCACTGCTCCCTTGGGCAGGACCCCAGGCCTTGCCAAGACCCCCCAGCTGTCCCCTCCATGCCCCCTGCGGCAGGACCCACCTTGGCACAGGGTCCTGTTCCTGTCAGAGGGGACGTATCCGGCCCGGCACTCACACCAGTAGCTTCCATAGGTGTTGACACATGTGGCGTTGGGGCCGCAGATATCTCGGGTCTTGTTGCACTCGTCGACGTCTGAGAGGGGAAAGCGGGAGGGGGGCGGGGGGTCACACACAGCACGGCTGGGGGCTCACGGGGGGTGAATGACTATGGAGGCACCTTCCACCGATAGCAGGGGGCGTGGTCTGTCGGTCAGTCTGTCTGCTCCATCTAAACCCCCCCATTCTATTCTCCTTTCTTCGCTGCTATTGGCAGTGTCCCAATCCCTGCAGCGCAACCCCTCCCCTACCCCCCAGATCGGTGGGGTCCAACCTTTTCCAGACCAGAACCCTGCGATCCCCGCCCGGCACCAGCCCTGACAGAACGGGGTTAAGGCGGGGGCCCGATCAGCCAGTTAAGCTACAAAGGGGAAGTGACTTAGGCTGCCTAGGAGGGGACAGGTGTGGCTTCTATACAGCCCGAGGGCTGGCCCCAGTGGTGGGGGCCTGAGGCGAGGGGGCTAGGAAGCCCTGAGTGGGGCTAGGAGCCCCAGAAGAAGGGTTTTGCTAGCAGGCATAAGAGAGAGGGGTCTGACTTTGAAAGGCTCCCCCAGAATGGGGATCACAGCGTGACCTGGCCGGACGGCCGAGACACGGGGCAGCCGCGACTCCGGGAGCTGCAATGGTGGAAGAGAAGAAAGGGGGCGCTGAACTGGAGCTAGTTGTCAGAAGGGCAGCGTTACAGACCCGTTTGGGATACACCCAGCCCCGCCCCTCCCATGGAGCACTAGGAGAAAGGTGGGAGGGCTGCGCCCAGGGGAGTGCAGGGGAATTGGGTGATGTCCCTTTAATCTAGTTCTTTGCTCTCTGGTGGCTCACGGGGGTCGATGGCAGAAGCCCGCAGACCCCCACATGCGGCCAGGCCCTGCACGGCTGGTAAACGGGTTGTTTGGAAGCCAGCTGGATCCAGGGGATCCCCCTATTCCTAACACTGCGCAGTGAGCAGCGGCCCAACAACGTCCATTCCCGGACCCTGCTGTGACCCCCAGGCCCAGGGCCCCGCGGGGCAAATCCACCGAGCCCTCGGACGGATGACGCCAGCTCGACACTCGCTGCCGATCCGGCCTGTGGAAACTGAAGCTGGAAGAGACCTGCCCAGCCTGACCCCCAGCATAGCCCCAGCCGGAGTCGCCACCCAGCGGGTCACCAATCCGGCCCCAAACGGAGGGGACTTTACGGCCCTCGCTGCCTCCCTGCAGCGCAACCCCTCCCCCACCCCCCAGATCGGGGGGCCCAACCTTTTCCAGACCAGAACCCTGCGATCCCCTCACTGCACCAGCCCTGACAGAGCAGGGTTAAGGCGGGGGCCCGATCAGCCTGTTAAGCTGCAAAGGGGAAGTGACTTAGGCTGCCTAGGAGGGGACAGGTGTGGCTTCTATACAGCCCAAGGGCTGGGCCCAGTGGTGGGGGCCTGAGGCGAGGGGGGCTAGGAAACCCCAAGGGGGGGATAGGAGCCCCAGAAGAAGGGTTTTGCTAGCAGGCATAACAGAGAGGGGTCTGACTTTGAAAGGCTCCCCCAGAATGGGGATCACAGCGTGATCTGGCCGGACGGCCGAGGCACGGGGCAGCCGCGACTCCGGGAGCTGCAATGGTGGAAGAGAAGAAAGGGGGCACTGAACTGGAGCTAGTTGTCAGAAGGGCAGCGTTACAGACCCGTTCGGGATACACCCAGCCCCGCCCCTCTCATGGCGCACTAGGAGAAGGTGGGTGGGCTGCACCCAGGGGAGTGCAGGGGAATTGGGTGCTGTCCCTTTTAACTAGTTTCTTTGCTTTCTGGTGGCGCTCACGGGGGTCGATGGCAGAAGCCTGCAGATCCCCGACATGCAGCCAGGCTCTGCACGGCTGGTAAACGGGTTGTTTGGAAGCCAGCTGGATCCAGGGGATCCCCCTATTCCTAACACTGGGCAGTGAGCAGCGACCTGACAACATCCATTCCCAGACCCTGCTGTGACCCCCAGGCCCAGGGCCCCGCGGGGCGAGTCCACCAAGCCCTCGGACGGATGACGCCAGCTCGACACTCGCTGCCGATCCGGCCTGTGGAAGCCGAAGCTGGAAGAGACCCCCCAGCCTGACCCCCAGCATAGCCCCAGCCGGAGTCGCCAGCCAGCGGTTCACCAATCCGGCCCCAAACGGAGGGGACTTTACTGCCCTCGCTGCCTCCTGGGGCCTTTCACCGCTGTGGACAGTCTGATCTGACAGACGGGCCCCGCCCTGCCCGGGCACAGAGAGCCCTGCCGTGATCTAGCCAAATGCTGGAGGGCCGTGCACCCGCCAGGCTACCAACATGGGTAGCGCCAGCCGCCGGGCAAAGGGGGATACACGGGGATGTCGGGGCTCCATGGTGCAGCGGGGTCACTCCCCCCGTGCCGGGAGTGGGGTTTTCTACCTAGGGACCTGGCTTGTACGTGCAGAGACGCACTCGTTCCGGCCAGCCCCTGAGGAGCCTGCAGTCCTGTCTGGGGCAATGAGAGCTGGAGAAGCAGAGCTGGGACAAAAACCCCTTGAAGTCAGTGGTGCTGCACCAATTTACACCACTGGGGCTCTGGCCCCCGCTTTGTGACCATTTCACATACAGCAGCACTGAGTTGGTGGCGACGCATGGGGGACGGGCGCATCGTCAGTCATTCCCGCGGGTTGGGGGAAGCGGTTGAGCCGCTGTGGAAATGGCCATGACTGATTCTCCCGGAAATCCCAGCCAGGAACAAGTGCTGGAATTCAACATTTGCCTGCTTATTAACCCAACATTTCAGTCGTCCAATCAGGAAGCAGAGAAAGACCACGGGACTCAGGTAACCAATTGTACAACATCAGTGACAAGTTTTCGGAGCAAACAGTTTGCCAATAAAATCACAGACGTTTATCCACCCAAACAGTCAAAGGGTCGTCCAGTGAACGAGCAGGTTTGGATCAGCATGCAGAGCTGTTCTGCTGACTCCCCATGGCGTTCAGAACCGCCGTGGCCTATCAGTCACCATCCCTGAGGACAGATGGGTGACGACCCTTCCTGAGGAAGTAGGGGCAGGGCCACAGAAGAAAGCTAAGCTCTCCCCAATATTTATCCATAACACTTTTGCTTCACACAGAAATCCTTGTGGCTAAAATCCCCTTCGCCTGGACGTCAGCAAACAAGTCAATCAGCGGGGAGAGTCATGAGCACTCACGGATCCTTCCCTTGGTCCGTGCTCCAGCAGCTCTGTCTCAGACTCCCCTTCTCTCTCTTTCCAGTGACAGCGTTTTGCTATTTCCCGCTACACCCCTTCCCCTCGGTCGTTATTTGCATAAAGGCAGCACCCAGAGCCTGCACACACACTGCCATAAAGAGCTTCTAGTCTAAATAGACAAGAGGTGGGAGAGAAAACTGAGGCAGGGAATTGCCCAAGGACACCCAGCAGTAACAGAGCTGGGACTAGAACCCAAGTCTCCTGAGTCTCCGTCTCAGACCCGACCCACTAGACCTTTCAGCTTCCTCCAGAGAAGGCCAAGAATGTGTCTCCCCTGCCTCACCAGGCAGATTTTACCCTCTGCTCCCCGTCACTGAGAGGAGCTCTGTGTCTCCTGGCTCAGTCCGGGAGTGCATCAGGGCTGGAAAAAATCCCTTGTTCCTTTGGCAGGAAACTCAACTTTTGCTCCATTGTTAAACCTCTTGGAAGGCAACAGGCCTACGCCATGCCTGTGAGGGGGCTTGTATGTGCCAGCATCTAGCGAAGCCCACTGAGCCACAGAACAAGGAGAGAGCAAGTTTGTCCTGCTCTAGTGGCTGGTTGCCATAAGTAGATAACAGCCTGCTACAATGACTTGTTACTGGAGTTACTCCCTTAGCTCCAGCAGCTGCGATGTGTGCTTTCAGCAGGCAGTTCCTGGGTTTGATTCCTACTAATGACCCAAGCTGGCTCCTTTGTGATGCCAGCTCCTTCCCCAGCCTTAGCAGCTGCTGAGGGTTCGGTTAATGGGGTTCCAGAAACTAATGGGCTTTTTGAGCCCAAGCTGTATTAAAGGTTGATCCAACACAGAGTCCTCGGCTCCGTCTCAGCCCAGTTTGCTTTGCAAAGACCTGACCTGCCCCCACCTCAAAGCTCTGCTACGAAAGAGCATCTTGGGCTCTGATTGCAGCGGCAGGTTTGGGGGGATGTTGCAGCTTCTAATGACGTCCCTAATGCCCTACGCTGGTGCCTCAGTGGAATTAAGCAGCATGTCAAGAGACATGGCGACCTTCAGTCCCCGGGCTCAGTTTCCAATGTGTAAGACAGGCTGGGAGTCAGAACAGACACTTTGCCCGGGTGTGGCATAGAGGAAGAGTGAGAATGCAGGGAAACCTGGTTAGTTTCCCCCTCCAGGCATGCAGGTTAGTGTCAGAGATCCTGGGTAAGCTCAGTGGCCGTGCATTAACATCATCGCCAATGCCAAGCAATCAATAAAAGCCCCAAACCGTGAGCCAGGCTGCAAAAAAGTCACGAGATTGGTTTAAAAATGACAAGATTTTTCTTTTTAACAATCCATTTTGGCTTCGTTTTGTTTGACTCTGGTTTGGGAGCTATCGGTCACCCCAATGTAATGTTTGGCAGTTTTTCCTCCGCCACGTGGGCCAGGCCCTAATTTTCATTTTAGGCAAAAGCGGAATCACATGACCCCGGAGGTGGGGCTTTAAGGCAACACCAGACGTTAGCAACACTGCAAAAAAGCCAGAAACATCATGCCTTTCCCACGACTCTTTCCAGCTCCCGTTGTACCTGTGCAGATCTTAGATGGATCCTTTTGACTCTTTCCAAATCCCCAACTGCATTTACACATGTAAGTCCCTGGCATGTTGATGCAGTTCCCGTGGGGCTCACAGATTGTGGCGTTTTGCTGGCACTCGTCAATGTCTGCAAGGAGAGAGAAAGTGCTAGGTCAGGCTGATCTAGGAGCTGTACCTTGGGCACTGGGGTGACGCTGCTGGGGGATAATCTAGGTGTCCAAAATGCACCATGTGCTGGGGAGATGAGGCTGGTTAGAGCCAGGAGTTCAGTGACTGGGTCAGCGACCGGGAGCGAGTTGGCTATTGTCCGGAATGAGCCGCTCCAGCTGGGAAGGGAAAAGCAGCCCTGCCAGGACACGCGCCGGCTGCTTGCTAAAGCTACCAAGCGGATCTGGCGATGCCCAGTGCCGCAATATCAGTGCAGACGGCAATGCCTGAATGAGCCGCCTGCCCCTGGAAGGGACAAATGGGGAGCTGCTTTGGAGGAAGGGGATAGAGAATAACATGAGGGCTAGTCTAATGCCTGGAGATCAGTCAATGGGGGTGACCTCCTCTGCAACCCATGAGCTGCCCTGGGCACCCTCTTGCACACAGGACAGTGCAGAACCAGAGGGGTTCAGAGACAGGCAATGAGAATGATCAGGGGCCTGGAAAACCCTCTACGGAGAGAGACTGAAAAGACTGGGACTGGCACCTTAGAGTGAACGTAAGAGGGGATGTGATAAGAGTCTATGAATGACTGACGGGGATAGAGAAGGGAGATGGGGAGCTTCTGCTCTCCCCACCTCATAACACGAGAGCAAGCGCCATCAGGGAAGTGAGAAGAGGGGAACATTCGAAACTGAGCCCAGGAAAGGCTGTTTCGCGCAATGTGCGATTAGCCTGTGGAACTCCCCACCACAGGAGTCATTGAGGCCAAGAATTTAGCAAGATTCCAGGAGTGACTGGACATTCCTACGGGTGATGAGAACAGCCAGAGTGATCGTAGTTAAAGGGCACAAACGTTTGGGAAGAGAGAAAACCTCCTGCTGTGGGGCTTCAGCCCAGCTGAGTATTAGAGACCAGGAAGTGAGGGCAGATTATCCCCCAGCTGCCACTGCAGGGCTCTTCCACCGTCCTCTGCAGCATCTGGCTCTGGCCCGTTGGAGCCGGGATACCAGGCTAGATGGGCCCCAGCTCTGATCCCGTCTGTGCTGTGGAAGTGCCAGCGTGACTTGTGTCTCAGCCTGGCCGGGGCCACGGTTTTGCCTCTTGAGAGGCTGAGCTGCTCCCGGTGCAGACTGACCCTGTAAGAACCGACCGGCTGCATCCTGCCAAGTGCTGCCTCCTCCGCCCCTCGACCCTGCGACACTCGCGGGTTCTCCTGACAGCACCAAGGCGGCTCCGCGTTTCCAGAACCTGCTTTATTCCGGAAACGACGTACAATCGGGTTCCGCCCCCGACGGTTTCCAAGAGTCCATGTGGGATGGGAACGGAGCTTCCAGCGTCCTTATCCATCCCGTCCTGGTGCGATTGGGATGTTTATAGTGGGTAGCGCCGCAGCCAGGGCCCCGTGGTGCCAGGCGCTGTACACACATCCAGCCACAGCACAGCCGCTGCTCCAAAGTGCTTTCCCCAGCTCCGACGCTCTGTCTGCTGGAGAAGGGGCGCCATGCGCTGGGTTCTCGGTGGTGCGGCCAGAGCTCTCCCCTCCCTCGGGCACACGGGTGTCCCACAGCTTCCAAACTCACTCTGAGTTGCAGGGAGCTCTGAGATTGGGTGTCTCTAGGGGCTTAAGTCCATGGGGAAATTGGCGGGAACAGCTCCTGTGGAATCGCTCCCCATCCGGACACTCTGGTCTGGAATAATCAGTGCGCTTCCAAAGAGAACAGCGATCGCCATCAATTCCCCCGAGGACAAGCCCTAGGGATTCTCCGCACGGCTCCCGATACCAGCTATCCACGGACAATCCCCGGGGCGCTGGCTGAGATACCTGCGGCGCTGATTTCTTCTCGTGCCTAGACCCGCCCCAGGACACTGGCTGGGGTTATCCCACGCGGCCGGGGGCTGGGCGCAGGAACGGCTGGGCGAGGTCTCTGCCAGGGGAAGTGTTCGAACGAATGGGCTCCTGAGTTTTCCCAGTTCGACGGGCCCGGTGCTCTGCCCCCCCCAAACGGGTGTGTAAAGGGCGGTTTCCATGGGAACGGCCGGCTAGGACTTGATACAAGCTCTAACTACCGGCTGAACGTCGCAAACAAGGGCCTGGAGCGCCCCGGCCCCTTTCTAGAGGACGCCCTGGCTGCCTAAGGGGGCAATCCAAACACCGAGGCAGGGGAGATCCTGGCCCCCATGCGCTGGGGCAGCAGTTGGGGGTCACGGCTGATCACAGCCCCGGTGAGTAGATCTGGTGCCTTTGCTGCAACCAGCAGCAGCCTCCGGCTCAACACCAGGCCTGGAATGAGCCCAGGGGGGTGTGTATTGTGCGGGGGGGGGAGACACTCGTGTGTGTGAACTTGGCTTTCCCAGAGCTGGGCTCGTAGCCATCGCTGCAGGTGCAGTAGTAACTCCCAGCCACGTTGTTGCAGTTTGCGTTGCGTCCACAGTCTGCCGGGCTCAGGCCCTGACACTCGGGTGACCAGATTACATGAACAAAATATCGAGACACATGGGGGGGCAGGTCCAGAGTGCCGCTGAAGCAAAAAAAAAAAAAAGGCCCGAGCCAGAATGTCGGGACAAATGGTGTCCCAACCATACATCCATCGGGACGCGGGACAAACGACTGAACATCAGGACAGTCCCGATTTTATCGGGACGCCTGGTCACCCTACCTGACACTCATCAATATCTGCAGCACAAGAGGGGACGCTCTGTACAGTCCTGCCTGAGAGACGTTCCCCGTATCACCCGCTCCCCACTCAGCCCCCTGCACCGAGCTGAGTGACAGGACCCAGGTGACCGGGCTCTCAGTAGCTTAACAATCACAGGCCTGATTCTCAGCTACACTCGACGGCACTAGGCTGCTCTGGCAGCAGAACGGCCACTTGAGAATCCCCCATCCTGCAAAAAGGGGCCACCCCAGCTGGTGTGGAGCTGTAGGGGTCCTGCCCCCAACCTGCTCCTAGCCCCTGATGTAGGGGCCGAGGCCGGGGTGCCCAGCACTGCAGCTATTCCCTGCCCCCCAGGGCCCATGGGGGAGGATCGGGGGCACGGCTTAGAGCTGCAAATATAAGCAAATAAGAGATGTGATTTGGTAAAAGACATACATTTTTTTGTTAACTGATATAGATTTTGTCATATTAAAGAGTTAAAAGTATTGTCAGTTTGCCTGCATCAGTGGCTTCCGGTGAATGAACCTTCAACGTGTTGAAGCAGGTAAAGGACTATCACCGTTCAACTACGGGACAAGAGCATTTGAACGGGCTCCCCATGCTTAATATCAACTGTGACATTGCACGAAAGCTAGACTTTTCCTCAATAATTATTACATTTGCACAGAAAAAGGCTAGAAAAGCATTTGTTAATTTCAAAAATATTCCAATTATGTCTCACTCTTTTTTTGGTGCCTTATTTTGTTTTCATGTGTTGTCATTTTGTATGTTTATTATGCGTAGGGGCCTCAACAGCTGGAAGTGGCCTGCGCCTCTCTGGACCTCTGAGAGGGCCTGGGTGAGGGTCATGTCTCATCACAGCCTCGCTGAGGCCTCAGGCCACTGCCAAAGCCGGCAGCAGACCAGGAGTGGCCCCTTGCTGGGAATGGGCACGAGGGGTGGGAGTGTCAGCAGGTGGGGGTCGGGGAGAGCTCACCCTGGCAGGTGTCCCCACTTGCGTGAGTGAAGTTGGCTTTCCCAGAGCTGGGCTCGTAGCCATCGATGCAAGTGCAGGAGTAATTCCCAGGCACATTGGTGCAGTTTGCGTGGGGTCCACAGTCTGCCGGGCTCAGGCCCTGACACTCGTCAATATCTGCAGCACAAGAGGGGATGTTCTGTACAGTCCTGGCAGGGAGACGCTCCTGTATGACCCACCTGTACTGAGCTGGGTGATGGGACCCAGGTGACCAGGCCTCTGGGAGCTTAACAATCACAGGCCTGAGTCTCAGCTACGCTCAGGCCACACTTGGCTGCTCTGGCAGCGGAACGGCCACTTGAGAATATAGTGTATTGAAAACTGCGTTAGCATCACAAGCTCTCACTTTACATCTGCAAGGGGCTTTCCTGGACCTGCTTGCGGGCTAGGGGGCTCGGGTGATAAGCATGTGATCTGGGTGTTTCAGCCGTCTGTCTGCCAAAGGGGCAGCCTAGAGCCAAGTGGGATTAGTTGTGCCCGTCTGCCTTCAGGAGCAGCCTGCTTTGTCTCTCTCTGTTTGGGAACCTCGTGTGCTGCGGTTCTGGATTCTAAAAATAACCCTGTGTTGAGCTGCAGCCTGCCAGCAAGAGGATGTGATGCTTTGTTTCTAACTGTGTGTGTGCCGTGAACATAACAGAGGGAAGGGGACCTTCTGACCCCTGAACAGCCACTGTGGCCTCTATGGGCCAAGCCCCAATGGAGCCAAGATTTGGGGAGATGTAAGAGTCCATGTGTGAAGCTGAGTTGCCCAAGGGGTGGGAACACTGGGACTTGGCAGAAATCCCCCTCAGGTTCCAATCACAGAGGAACACACAGGCATTGTCAGCCTGCGTCAGCCCCAGGGCCCATCTACCCTGGTATCCCGTCTGCGATGGGTGCTACAGAGGAAGGTGTAAGAGTCCCACAGCAGCAGCCGGGGGATAATCTGCCCCCATGAAGGTCTCCTCCTGGTCTCTAATAGTCGGAGTTCGGCTGAAGCCCTGAAGTGGGAGCTTTTCCCTCCCTCCCAGAATTATTGTCCATTAACTAGCACAGCTCCAGGCATTGTCGCTCCCCATAGAAACAGCCAGTCCCTCTTCAAAACTCGACACATTCACAGCCTCCAGGCCGCGGTAGCAGTGAGTTCCAGAGGCTACTGCTGCCCCGGGTGGAGGAGTATTTCCTTGTATCTGCTTTGAATTTGCCCCTTTTCAACTCCATTCAATCCACACTCTGCCCCTGGCTCACTGGACTTTCTAAAGCTCGTGATTTTCTAAGCGAATCTGATTTTGTTTAGTGCCTGGGATTGTCGTCACGAGCTCAGCCATGCACTTGAGACCCACTGGAGCCGAGTTAAGTGCGTAGCTGGACAGGGATGGAGCCAAGCATGTGCTTTGCTGACTCGGGGGCTCAGGGAGCACAGACAGGGACCAGCACAAAGCGATTTAGCAGCTGGCAGCTTCCAGCGTCCCCCGGTGGAGACACCAGCATGTGGGTCTCCCCTGCCAGGGGACTGGCACTGGTGCATGCGCCAGCTTCATCAGCGCAAAGGGTCTCCAAATCCACTGGCCTGCGAGCCCAGAGAGACCTCTCGGCCTGTGCCCTGGGCAAACTCCCTGCCCTGGGGAGCGACGCGGAGCTGGTCAGCCCAGGTGTCCCCGCGCCATGCCGCTGGAAGCCAGGGTGTCTGAGGGAAGCCTGGGGCTGGGCTGGCAATGCCAGTCCCAGCACATGCCCCTCCCAGTGCTGCCCTGGGGGAGCGACATAGAGCTGGAGCAGAGACAGCCTGGAGCAGGGGCCTGGTACAAGGCCCGAACCAAAGTCAGCAGAAGTGATGCTCTGAGCAAAGTCCGGCCCCGTGGGACACTGAGCCAGAAAGGGTTAAGCAACTTGCCGGCAAAATGACCCAACTTCTGCCTTTAAAGCCACACTAGAAAAGGAGCCGGGAGCTGTGTTTCTGGCTTCTGGGTGAGCAGCACGGTATCGGAGCAGCTGGTTTGTTGCTGGCTTGGTGAATCTAAGTATCAGAACTAACCAGCAGTTTGGGGGATTGTCGGGCCCACTCTGCAGTTTGCCCGGATGGAGCAATCTCAGGGGGGCCCCCCAGGCACCAACAGTCGCACCCTGTCACAAAGCAGAGGCTTGTCTGCCAGTTCACCAACCGGTGCACAAACTCAGCCCCAGTATTGCCGGCATTGCCAACACACAGTGTTGTAACCACATCCCAGCGCGAGATTCCCCTGCCTAGCGCACGATAAGATGGTTTGACGGGTGGGGAATGTTTTGTCTGAAGCATCAGAAGTAAAGTACAAAGCCAGGGGGTGAATAAGCGAAGTTTAGTCTGAAGCAGCAGGAGAAAGCCACAAGGGGGGTAACAAGCATGTTGTGAAACACAAAAGCTGGGACGTAGGTTGTTTATCCCAGATGATTTGTCTCAGTCTGTAACTGTCGGGTCCATTGTCAGAGGCAGATGTGTGGCCGTGTCCCTGTGGCATCTATGGGCGCTGGCACCGGGCTGCTTTGGCGATAAACCTGACCGAGCGCCTTCACCACTGATCCGACTCTGTGGGCTGTATAGACACTTCAATGGAGGTCTGCCAGGCCAGCAACCCGCCCAGAGCCAGGACAGCACACAGAGCCGACGAACGCCAACCCCATGTCCCCACCCCAGAGTGCTGGAACTCAGGGTGCCCCAGGTAAGCCTGGGGCTGGGCTGGCAATGCCAGTCACAGCACATGGCCCCTCACAGCGCTGCCCACGCAGGGAACTTGGGGGAGCGGGAGGGTCCCTTGAACTAGCAGCTGCACCCCTTAGAGGCCAGAGCACAGCATGGCTGCCTCCCTGAGTGGAAGCTCAAGCAATAGGGGACAAGGGCGAATTCAAGAACGTTTTTGCCCAATTCCCGGAGCCGTTCCCGGGGCCACTTCCCAGGCTCAGCGGGGCACTAGTAGCTCAGACGCTGCGTGTGGGGCCAGCGAGGGTCCCCTCCCCTCTCCCCAGCACATCTCTGCAGCACAAGGAGTTTGCTCCGTGGGTCTGTTTCTATCCCCGAGGGTTTATTCCCTGTCCAAGAGCTGGGCACAGGGTGAGCCCGGCCCCATGCTCTGCGGGAGCAGGCGAGCGTCACATCTCATCACAGCCTTGCTGATGCCCTCGGGCCAGTGCCAAAGCCACAGCAGCCCCAGTGCAGCGCCAGGCCTGGAACGAGCATTTGTGTGTGCGAGGGGGGTCTCAGCAGGTGGGGGCCAGGGGAGAGCTCACCTTTGCAGGTGTTCTCACTCGCGTTTATGAACTTGGCTTTCCCAGAGCTGAGCTCGTAGCCATCGCTGCAGGTGCAGTAGTAACTCCCAGCCACGTTGGCGCAGTTTGCGTTGCGTCCACAGTCTGGCGGGCTCGGCCCCAGACACTCGTTAATATCTGTAATGCAAGAGGGGACGCTCTGTACAGTCCTGGCAGGGAGACGTTCCCCGTATCACCCCCCAGCCCCCGCACTGAGCTGGGTGACGGGACCCAGGCGACCGAGGCCGTGAGCGGTTAGTGATTAAGGGCCTGATTCTCAGTTACCCATTTCTGCTGCTGGAATGTTGGAAACACCCCCCCGAGCCTCCTGTCCCAGGTACAGCCCCACAAACACCCAGATCCCCCCTGGGGCTTCAGGCTCCCTGTGTGTTGTGTGGGGGGGTGACAAGCTGCCTCTTCTCTGCCCCCTCCCTCCTTGTATCACTGCGTGGCTGGGGGGGAGGAAGTACAGCCAGGGCTGCCCCATTCTGCTCCCGTGGGGCCCCTCTGCCCCAGGACACCCAGGGACAGATTCGGGCCCAGGCTGGGATTCAGACGGGTCAGTGTGATGGGCCCCCCCACCCTGTGCCCAATCCACAGAGCCCAACGCTCCTGGCTCCTGCTGCAGCCACTCCTGCTGCTCACTCTGGAGGCCCCGGTTCAATCCCCAGGAGGGCGGCGCTCACCCGTGCTGCTGCCCCCCCTCATTCCCCAGCCGGGCTGAGCCCCCCCAACAGGCCCTGGAGTCAGTGGAGTTGGCTGCTCTGGCCCTTAATGCCCTGCTCTGTCCCAGCCCCCCCAGGACAACGTGGGACCCCCGTTACCGTCACAGATCTCCGTTGTGTCAGTGAAGAAGCGATTCCCATGTGACTGGTATCCATCCAGGCAGGTGCAGTGGGTGTTGTTCACACACTTGGCGTTTGCTGGGCACAGCACATGGTTGTTACAGTCCTCAGTGGTACCTGCAGGGGCGGGAACAGCTGGGCAGGGTCAGCCAGTGCAGAGCGGCTCCCCCCCCACCACACACACACAGTGGGATCGACTCCTTTCACACGCCCCATTTGCTGATTTTCATCCCTGGGCGCCTGGCAAATAGTTCCAATGCCATCCACCGCCTGGCAACAAGGTGCCCTCGGCTGCACAGGGGCCTTGGCTCCCCGGGGAGCCCCCGGCACAGACAGGCAGAGCCGCCGGAGCCGGGCGTCGGTTCAAGTGAAAGGTTTTCGATCTCACCCAATTTTTCTCCTTTTTGTTGCTGTCGTCGTTACTCTCTTTAGCGTCAATTTCAAATAGAAACCTCACTTCGAACTGGAAAACGGGAATTGTTTGTTTTGAAAATTATTTCAATCCCCCCCCGGGCAATTTTTTCCCATGTTAAACCAAACATTCCTCTGAACCGAATCGGCATTTTCTGGCAAAAATGGTTCCTTAGGAAATTCCTGCCCGGCTCTGCTCTGGATTGACTGAGAGCGGAATCGGGCGCGAGGCTAGTTTGGATCCTGAGCTGCCTCCCATGACCCAGATTGTGACCTGCCTACGGGGGCTCCTGGAACCTTTAGCTGCCCGGTGTCTGGGGCTCCGCTGGGATCCGTCCCTCTGGCCAGCGTGAGGGGAAGGATCCCAGCGCAGCTTAGCCGGCTGCAGGGCTTGGGATGGGAGCAGACGGAGCAGGGTGGGAGCCGCAATGGGGGACTCCAGTGGGTCAGTGGGAATTTGCCGAAATCCCATCTTGGGATTCGCAGCGGAGCTGGGCTCGGGGCGCAGAGTCCTGATCCCAAACGCCCCCAGCTGGGCACGTGGGTCCCAGGTTACAGTTTAGAGGGAGGGACACCTACAAATGCCACTTCTAACGTCTGAGCCATCAGGGGTTTGATTCGGGCTGGTCAATAACACGGCCCTTGGCTACAAAGGGGATCTGCCCCTCACTCCAGCCTCCAGTGTAGAGCCGTGGGCCCCAGTGTCTATTCTCTGCTGGCCACGGGGCTGGGAAGGGAAGGGGAGGGCTACCCCGGGGCCTTCTCCTCTCCCCTGCACACACCCACCATGCTCTATAAACCCACCCCAAGACACCCACGCCAAGGGGCTGCTCCCGGCTCGCCAGACCCGACTCTGCTCTCCTCCCAAAAGGGAAAGGGACCGGAGGGGGCGGAGGGCGGAGACCCCGGGCAGCCGGGAGTGCTGGGGAAGGTTAGTCAGGAGGAGTCAGCCTTACCTTGTGTGCCGTTATTCTGGGCCACGGTGCCCCCCAGGCACAGGGCGATGCAGAGCCCTGGAAGGCAGAGACAGGGTAAGGCACCATGGGCAGATGGTAACCGCCACTCAGCTGCACACACCCCCAGCCGCCCCAGTCCTGCCAATCCTGGGCCAATGGCCAGTCAGTGCCCTGACGATGGTGGAATTAAAGATGCAGAAACCTGGTGCTCTGGGAAATCAGCCCCAGCTGGGATCCCTGCTAATATTTTTACCTGATTCCAGTTGGGAACTGGACTTTTAGTCAGGGCAACTGGGTCTTTTATTGTGTGGATTAGCAACAAAGACGATTGTCAGGGCTGGATTTACATTTTGGGTGCACCTAGGCACAAGGGCTTGGCGGTCTCCCCCCGCCCCCAGCTTGGAGGCGGCTTGGAGGATACCCCTGCTGCCCAGAAGCTGTTAACTGCCACGGGCTGCGCAGGATCCCCACCACTTTTAAATTTTAGGTGCTGCCCAGACCCCCCTCCGCCAACTGCCCAGCGCCCTCCACCCCCTCTGCCCAGCGCTGCCCCATGAATTCTCCCAGAGACCCACTCTCCCAAGCCCTGCCCCCCGGCCCGCACTCACTGGCTGCCCTGGGAGGTGACACTGTTTGCCGGGCGGAGCGAGGAGCGCTCCAGGAACAGGGCTGTGTGGGGGTCTCGCCCCCTCAGCCGACCCTGCCCCCTGCTGGGACCTGAGAGCGGCAAAGTTTGAATTTTTAGGAGCCCCATAGAATGCCTCCTGTGCCTCATCAGAAATCCGGCCCTGCTCATCACGCTCGGTGCTGCACATACACACAGTGAGCCATGGCAATAGGCAATAGGCAAAGGGAGGATGGGGAAACTGAGGCACGGTGAGGGGTAATGACGTACCCAAGGTCACACAGTGCGTCCATGCAATGGACAAACCCCCTTGGAAAGGGGAAGCACCGGGGCACTGACA